CGAATAAAGGGGAACGATCACGTCCCTCGATCTGCTGGCAATGCCCCTACTTATACAGCCCAAAATGCCGTTAGCCTTCTTGGCAACAAGAGCACACTGTTGACTCATATCCAGCTTCTCGTCCGCTGTGACCCCTAGGTCCTTTTCTGCAGAACTGCTACCTAGCCATTCGGTCCCTAGTCTGTAGCTGTGCATGGGATTCTTCCGTCCTAAGTGCCGGACTCTGCACTTGTCCTTGTTGAACCTCATCAGGTTTCTTTTGGCCCAATCCTCTAATTTGTCTAGGTCCTTCTGTATCCTATCTCTACCCTCCAGCGTATCTACCACTCCTCCCATTTAGTGTCATCGGCAAACTTGCTGAGAGTGCAGTCCACTCCATCCTCCAGATCATTAATAAAGATATTAAACAAAACTGGCCCCAGGACCGACCCTGGGGGCACTCCGCTTGAAACCGGCTGCCAACTAGACATGAAGCCATTGATCACTACCCGTTGAGCCCGACGATCTAGCCAGCTTTCTATCCACCTTACAGTCCATTCATCCAGCCCATACTTCTTTAACTTGCCAGCAAGAATACTGTGGGAGACCGTATCAAAAGCTTTGCTAAAGTCAAGGAATAACACATCCACTGCTTTCCCCTCATCCACAGAGCCAGTTATCTCCTCATAGAAGGCAATTAGGTTAGTCAGGCACGACTTCCCCTTGGTGAATCCATGCTGACTGTTCCTGATCACTTTCCTCTCCTCTAAGTGCTTCAGAATTGATTCCTTGAGGACCTGCTCCATGATTTTTCCAGGGACTGAGGTTCCTTCTCACGATCTCCTTATCCAGCTGGGCCCAGTCTCTTTCCTTCTCCACCCCATGGCTCCCAGTTTTCTTGTCCAACCAGTTCCTGCTTCATTCCCTTCCCGCACCCACCCAGTTGCTGGTGAGTATTTACTTCAAGCTTCAATTACTTCAATTGCTTGAAATACTCACCAGCAACTACACACCACACAACAAAAACACCAACCCAGGAACCAAACACTGCAACAAACCCCAGTGCCAACCCTGTCCACATATCTATTCAAGGGACACGATCATAGGACTTAACTACATCAGCCACACCATCAGGGGCTCGTTCACCTACACATCTACCAATGTGATATATGCCATCATGTGCCAGCAATGCCCCTCTGCCATGTACATTGGCCAAACTGGACAGTCTCTACACAAAAGAATAAATGGACACAAATCTGACATCAGGAATCATAACATTCAAAAACCAGTAGGAGAACACTTCAATCTCTCTGGTCACTCAATAACAGACCTAAAAATGGCAATTCAACAAAAAAACTTCAAAAACAGACTCCAACGTGAAGCTGCAGAACTGGAATTAATTTGCAAACTGGATACCATCAGATTAGGCCTGAATAAAGACTGCGAGTTGTTGGGTCAATATGAAACCTAAACCTAATTTCCCCCAATACTAATTTCTCCCTACTGTTACTCACACCTTCTTGTCAACTGTCTGTAATGGGCCATTCTCTTACCACTTCAAAAGTTATTTTTCCTCCCTTGGTATCCTGCTGTTAATTGACTTATCTTGTTAGACTGACCTCACACTTGGTAAAGCAACCCCCATCCTTTCATATATTTATACCTGCTCCTGTATTTTCCACTCCATGCATCTGATGAAGTGGGTTCTAGCTCACGAAAGCTTATGCCCAAATAAATTTGTTAGTCTCTAAGGTGCCACAAGAACTCCTCGTTGTTTCTTCTAGATCAAATGTGTGTTAAGATAAGAATGTACCTGATGTGTAAATTTCATGAAAACTAAGGAAGGATTGTTTGTTTCCTATTACATTACCTTTTATATTGTGTATATCCCTGTGACTAATTCATCAAATGGGAATGGAACCTTGGAAATGCTAATGAAGGACTTAATGGCTGTAACAGGAAATGCTAATTTCAAAGCAAGGGGACATGGAGGAGTAAAGACACATCAGATTGCTTTCTGTGTGGAAAAGCTATAAATATGAATTCAAAAAGGGATCTAGTATCTCTGAACTATTTGGACACTCAAAGGAAAGTGTTCCAGATGCAAGACAGAGATCCTCAAAGTTATTTTGGGTAACTCTGAGAGACTTACGGAAAACTAGCAAATTACTACATCTCTACTATCACTGTGGACTTACAAACTTAGACTTATCTGTTAATGTATTTTATCTGCTTTAATTCCTCGATAACTCATTTCTTTTTCTTAGCTAATAAACCTTTAGTTAGTTTACTAGAGAAATTGGTTGCCAGCGTTGTCTTGGTGTAAGATCGAAAGTATTCATTGACCTGGGGTAAGTGACTGATCCTTTGGAGTTGGGAGTAACCTAGTATCACAAAGTCCAGTTTTCTGGCTGGTAAGATACGCTGGAGAGTCTAAGGCAGTTGTCCATGTCTCCATGGTAAGGCTAATATAGTGATCCAGGAGATTACATTTGTTACTGGCTTGGTGAAATCTAACTATAGAATATACCACCAGTTTGGGGGGTCCACCCTGTTTTCTGACAGTCTGACCTGAGACTGGCATTCACAGTACTGAGCCATTCCAGAACCCTACTCCAAAGCGTAGGGGAGCTGGAGCTGTTTAAAAAAAAAAAAAAAAAAAAAAGCACCAGATTTTTTTAAACATGGACAAAAAGCTTATTTTCTCTTTTTAGCTAAAATTTCCAAAAAAATTCTGCTTGAGGCAACCATTCAAAATAGAAAATTTCAGTTTAAACAGTTAAAGTTTGGCAAAGTTAAAAGCAACTGAAAAAAGAGTCTTGTAATGCTAAGTGTCAGACAACCTTAATAGACAGTACTACTGACCCCTCCTACATCCTCTCATCCAAAACCAGATCTTCTTAATACGCTAATTTACAGGGGACCCTCCTGTCTGCTGTGCAATATAAATTTAAACATTTTTAATGTAACCCAGCAACTCCATGCACAAGCTATACATATTCAGACAATAAAAGGACACCTGCATTTACCATGTGAATGGATAGAAAAACTAGCCAATAAGATGATAGATTGATATGATAAGGAGTAAAAACAATGAAGAAGAGTATTTTCTGACTTAGTCCATTTCTAAGGACAAATATTTCAACAATCGTAAATCAATTCTCTTTACAAGATACCAAAAGCAATTAGAATAGTAAATTAGCCACTGATCAGTCAATACTGGTATTTAGGACTACTGGTGCACAAATGACATTTTGGCAAACTTTCAATACTTTTTTATTAATAGTTCTAAGACTTCTGATGCCCTCCATTTACATTTTTGTTTAACATTGTGAAATTAAATTCTCTCCTGGTCCAAAGCTGCAAATACCAAGTTTCAGCCAGAGGCAGAAATTTATGGCCAGAATTCTAAACCTCTGTACGGAAGGTTTCTAATGGAAACATGGACAGAACTCTGAAATCAAGAAAGGACCAACAGACAGCAGGTACAATACATACCTCAAAACACTACACTAGTTCTGATACACTGAAGAACTTTAAATGGTGAAGTTTTGTTTTCTTTTAACCAACTGTAAATGGTTTATATGGAGTTAAACAAATCAAAAGGATGAAATAAATAACATAAGCACACAACCCTTAACTTTTCAATTCATCCAGTCTCTGTAAATTATTAGAAGCTCCATGAATATTAATATTCTGTCTCCCTGTTTCTAAGCAGGGCCATAAGCATGGTCTCTGGATGGCTCACAGCCAGCTCGAATTTACCATTTTAACAACTAAAATCAAATTTTAAAAAAATAAAAGACAGAAATGAACATCTTCCAGTATAAACTTTATAACCTTCTTCTTTGCCAGGGAACTGCATCACATTTTCCCTAAATATGAATAAAAGTGTCATTAAATACACACTTTCTTGCAAACTTCATATTTTTCCTGGCTTCTTTTTAGCTCTATAAATATCATTGGATGCGGTAATTTGGGATACTACATTTGCACACAATTTTTAAAGGCACAGATGCAGGGTTTTTTAATTTTCTCAAGATAGCCAAATGTCTTGATATTTTACAGAGAAACAGAATCCAATTCCTCTTAAGCTAGGGATAAATTCTCCCCCTGACATATGCATAACTCTGACTGAGAAGGCAGCTATACAAACCATAGAAGTTACAGATGGACAAGACCTCACATTTCTAAAGTCCCTACAGCAGTTTACTGTCTTATACTTAATCTATTTCTGTTGGTGGAGCCTCTCTGACATCACTTGGCAACTTTTTCCGTTCTCAAATTGATCTTACTATTAGAAGCTTTTCTTTATGTCTGAACTTTGCCTTCTTTCATTCAAAGACATTACATCTTGTAATACCACTTTGATCAACCTCACCCAGTCCTGGTATGGTACTGAAGCTCTTGTGAGTGGTACTGTAGGCTTACTGATAAGCCTGGGGCCTGGTGCACTTTCACTACATTCCTCCCACAAATCTGTGGGTACTTTAACTCATAAAGGAAGGACACTGCTCCAGATCCCAAACTCAAAATCACAGCACTTGGGCCTGGAAGAGCCAACCTCCATTTTAGACTCCACAAAACTGAACAGGAGAGGCAGGAAATTGACCATCAGCGGGTAAGACTCACTCAAAAGCACTGGAAGTACTGCTTTAGACGACAGCATCAAAAGAAAATTATGGAACTAAATGAGCCAAGTCTAATTGAAGCAACACAGATAACAGCCTTACAAAAAAGCTAAAGAAAATGAAACACTGAAAAGAAATGGTAGAGAGAATCTTGTAAAGCCATCTCTAAAGTCTGAAATAAATATTAAGGAAAACACAATAAAGTCACCAACCGAACTGTCCAAATAGAATGATGGTTTTTTTTCCCACAGATGTGCTTACGGTAACTGGCTTGTCCATCCCTGTTAAAACGTCATCTGTTTTTCATCTTCCTGTCATTTTCATGCTTCTCTGATTTTATGACTTGATACTGTGGGCCAGAGACTTAAAAAAAAAAAAGGAAAAACTTACTGGTATTGAAAATTCCTCAGCCAAGTACTTCAATAACGATGCTTCTCTAGCCAGAAAGTTACTTCTCTCCATCAAGTTTCCTTGAAGTTTCATATCAAACTCCTTTCTGACCACTGAAGCAACAGAGTCAATTATTACAAGCTTAACCTTCTTAGAAATGATTTCTTCTTCCAAAGTCTCAATCCTTAAAAAAAAAAAAAAAAAGTATTGACTTAGGTGAAGCAGTAACATCAGACAGCAGGATGTTAGTTGTATACAGTTAACACAAAAAAAAGAAATATTTTATAAGCATAAACCTGTTACATCAAATTATACTAAAACCTTTATATACAGCCAACCCCCTCTGTCAACAGTCACCCTTACTGGGTTATGGAGATGTGGAGGTGGGAAGGAATCCTGCTCCATAACCACTACCATAGCTCTCAGGCTGCCATAGCTCCTGTACCCCAAAGTGCCCCCTTCAGAGTGGAGGGTTGGAGGACCCATATAATATGGATCTGCTCTGTCCCATGCAGTCATGGGAGTAACCAGAGAGATATGCACACACAGAGGCTGTGCCCTGCCTCCTCTCTCACATAGTAGAAACATCCCATTTCTACCACCGTGGGTCCCCTCTACAGCCACAGGCCCAGGTCCCTCTCTACATACTTGTAATGTAATATACATGTCAAAATATATTTGGTTAATAATATGCTAATAGTTCATCCTCTCTGATGGGGCTGTAGGTAGTATACAGCACAAGTACTAACACGTTTGCAGATACACACAAGAAGAATGGCAAGATGTCCTTGCCACATCATAACCTGTCTTCATGACAATGTGTCATCACAAGTTGACAAAGTAACATGACAACACAGGATCACCATGTAAAAGCCTTCCTGGCTGACAGTCATGAGTGGGGCTCCTCTCTCTATTTGCAGGAGGATCCCAGCATCTCCTTTTCTTCCTCCCTCATAATGTGGGGATGGGAGGAAGATACTCAGGAGGAATAGTTGGGAGGCACTTCCATGATTTTCCTCACTCTACCCTAAACTGAGCTAGAGCAAACCAGGTGCCCATCAGACGCACAAACTCCATAAGAGCTACATCTAGGATTATGAAGGGATTCCTGCAAACCATGTTTTGCTGGCTGTGTATTAGAGGTTACTGCATTATAAAAATAGCAACATTGATATCCATTGGTCATACACTAAATGAGACATCTCAGAAAGCTTTTTCAAAATCTTCAGAATAAAGACAACGTGGGATCAAATACATGCATCAAGATGCAGGGTTTTTGGTGGTTTTGCACTAATTTTATCTAGTCAGACTTGCCTAGCTATTGAAATGTAAAGGCCCAAAGAAGTGAACTACTGTACATAAAACTTGAGATGTAGAACATACTCATTACAGAACATTCAGCAATGATGGGCTTCCCATTGCACTCCAAAGCAAACAATACCTTTTCAGCACACTGTCACAGGTGAGCTCCCGATAGAGATGAATGCTACGGGTCATTGAAAACAACTTTTCTTCTGTGCCAAAATAATTAGGGAAACGGTGTTCTGCTATCTCAACCAACCTGTCAAAATTCAAAAGGCACATCACTGCAAATTCTGGGCTAACAAGACAGCAACCTTCCTGTACCATTTCCACTACCCCCATAAATTCAAAGTACACAAAGGAAGAGATATTTGATGAACTAAATAGATGAAGGATGAGCAGATGTAGATTTAAAGCTAATAATATTTGACTTCCTTTTCCAAGGAGGAAGTACATTCTAGCGGCCAGAGTGGAGTGCTAGAAGTCAGGGGATGACGGTTCTATTCCCAGCTATGCCACTGAATCGCTAGTGAAGTTAGGCAAGACTCCACTTCTCTGTGTTAGCTCCTCTATGAATAAAATAAAAGTACAGTAATAACATTTCCCAAGGGGAATTGTGAGGTTTAGTTACTAACGGCATGTCTACACTACAAAAATAAGTCAACCTAACTTAGGTCAGCATACAGCCGCTACAGTAATTACATCACTGATGCGTGTCTGTATTTTGCTCCTTGTGTAAGCGGGGTGTGTCTTTACCGGGAACGCTTGAATCAATTGTACTGTCAGTGAGGGGCATTGTGGGATGCTTCTGAAAGTAACAGTCAGTGTAAGCAACTTAGTGTCTACACTGACACTGCAGCGACCTAACTACATCGACTTTGACTCTACGCCTCTCATGGAGGTGGAGTTATTAAGTTGGTGTAGTGGGGCAATTACGTCAGCAGGAGCAAAATTTTAGTGTAAACACTTACATAGTTAGGTCAACATTAATTGCCTTGCATTGACCTAAAACTGTAGTGCAAACCAGGCCCGAATGAAATGCACTTTAAGATTCTTGTACAAAAGTCGCTACTAAAGTGCAAAGTATTATTGCTATAGTTCTGCTTATCAATGATATTTGCATTTAAATAAGGGTATTGATGATCCCAGATCATCTTCTCTTCTGCCTCAACCCTGTAATGAGGTCATAAAGCTGAGTTTGTGTCATCACAGAAATTTCTTTGGCAACCAGCTGATGTCATAAACACAAGCTTATGCCATCACTGCAACATCCAGAAGACAAAAAGGTGGAATTGGGAGGAAGAGGTCATGATTCAAATGCAAATTGGTAACAGTAGCACAGATATGGAGAGAGTTCTTGACCAAGTCAAATGCTTTTTCATGTATGGGCTGTTTTAAAAGTTTGCTTCAGCATGAAAATCTCTCAAATGACAGTTCTCTGATTTTGCCACTTTCCCTTTTCTGCTCCAGGCTTTCTCATGTCCTTTTAAAAATTGGGTAATTTAATTTTCAGGCCACAGTGAAAGATCATTAGATGGACAGCTCCAGCAAATAAAATCCTCAGTTTATCCACAAAACAGACACAATATAGTCAACCAACCAAGAGGTTACCCGAGATGGCTGGCAGGAGGTTGTGATGGGGCATTAAGACAGGTCCTACACCATCGTATTGCTTCACATAGGTCAGTGTTTCTCAATCTTTCTGATACCAAGACTGGCTTGCTGCCTTCCTAACCTGCATCAGGGAGATCTCAGGGAGCAGCACCAGTCCATGGACAGGTCGTTAAGAAACACTGATATAGGTCACTGAACAGTTTTCAAATGACAGTAACTTTCACACACTATTGACTGATTTAAATGAGTGGCTTAGAGATGAAATATTCTATACCCCATTAGCAAGTCCCTGACCCATTCAGTCCATTAGTTGTCATTGTTAAGATTGCAGCTGCTTATTACCATGCTAGTAAGTGCATCTCATTAATTGTTCAAACCAAAAAATCCAGAGCACCATGAATGTTTTTCACCTGGTCCCGAACGTTATTACACCGCTACCTCGATATAACGCGACCCGATATAACATGAATTGGGATATAACGCGGTAAAGCAGTGCTCCGGGGGGGTGGGGGGGGCTGCGCACTCCGGTGGATCAAAGTAAGTTCAATATAACGCGGTTTCACCTATAACGCGGTAAGATTTTTTGGCTCCTGAGGACAGCATTATATCAAGGTAGAGGTGTATATTCAAAAGCCAGGCTCTGAAGAAGAAAAAAAAGCCCACAATCACAATTCTGAAACTAAATAATTCTCAGTTATCAGAGGCAAACATTTTCAAATTCAGGTTCTTAAAGTTACTCAGGCACTTAGGTGGAAGTGGCATGATTTTTAGAAATGCTGAGCTCCCACAAATTGGGTCCTTCCAACTTGCACTGACTTCAGTGCAAACACCTTTGAAAATCAGGCCACATTTATCTAGGTACCTAAATATGGATTTAGGAGCCTAACTTTAGGCACTGGTGTTTAAAATTTTTGATCCCTATGACTATTGTAATTGTTTTGCAATGTTCAAAATGAACAAGGAAGAGAAACTGTTTAACTTTGCTAGGTAGTATTTACACTCCACACACTGTATGTGTGAAGAGAGTGACATCTGGTGGATGATATTTTTTCCCCAAACACTTCACTGTTGAGATAAAAATCATATTATAAAATGTTTTCCTTTGTTTTACAAGAGATCACAATATTATTAAAACTGAAGCTATTTTGGAAATGTATGTTACTTTTCATTGTAATTTGTGCTTACTTTATTTAAAAATAAACTCTTAATTGAACCATTAGGTTAGGCATTTTCACATCTTGACTAACAGTGTAATCTTACTAAGATAACCTTCTAATTAATCTCCTTCCTCTATTTATTACTAAGGGCTGGTCCACACTACCCGCGTAATTCGGCGGGTAGAGATCGATCTTCTGGGATCGATTTATCGCGTCTCATCTGGACGCGATAGATCGATCCCAGAAGCGCTCCCCCGTCGACTGCGGAACTCCTGCTCGCCGAGAGGAGGAAGCGCTGTCGACGGGGGAGCCTGCCTGCGCCGCGTGGACCCGAAGTAAGTACTTTTAGTTCGATATAGGAAACGTCGACTTCAGCTACGCTATTCTCGTAGCTGAAGTTGCGTTTCCTATATCGATCCCCCGCCCCAATGTGGACCAGCCCTAAGACTACTTGCTGCATCTAGAAGTTCAGAGCCAACTTTTCAGGGCAGAGACCTTGACTTTCAATTAGCCCAGTATATTGCACAGCACATTTCGGGCACTGTAACAATATTCAGTAATAACTTACTCACTCTGCACAACAACTAAACTTCAAATTGATGCAAGTTGGGTGCTAAGGAGGAAGTACCATGAAAAAAACAACAGGAAGTGGTAAGATAAAGTAAGGAAAGTCCTTCTGTTAGCTTTTCCTACTTCATTTCAGGTAGGATTGAGTTAAATCAAAGTGAATGAAATCACCAATTTTGATCATGATTTAAATCAGCAAGCAGGATATCTTGGTTTAAATAAACAATTTTAACTTATTTTGCATTTGTACTTATTTATTTTCTTAAAGAAAGTTTGTTTCTCAATGGTTGGTATAATTTAGTACTTCTTTTTGCTTACCAGGAGGATACACTATATCTATACACATTTAATTAATTTTTTTATAGGTTAACATACATGTATTCAGATTCTTAATTTTTATATTAGAAAACAATGACTGATTCATTTCTTATTTACAGAATGATTTTTTTTAACTCATGATTTGTGATTAGCTGCATTTGGCTGAAAATTGGAATTTATTTAAAAATACACAAAACCAGCATTGTAAAATTATTTTTATTAGTTAAAACTAACTTAAATGTCCTGGATACATAAGGAAAAAAGTAAGTTTATAAAAACATGTTTTGCTTTTAAAATGAACTAATTTATTAAACAAAGATAATGTTATCTGTAATTAGTGAATTGAATTGATTGTAGTTACAATGTCCTTCAAGATTTTAGAACCAATAAATCTCATTCTCTCACACCTCATTTTAATTCATAGACTGGACGAGGAGAACAAGCGTTCCTGCTTTTTCAGCTCCCAATCGGTTTCTGAACTTTGAATGAACTAGTCATTCAACTGATCTAGCTGAATAAACTGGCACGAAGAAAATATTTTCTTTGCACCTACAAAAAAAGCTACCGCTGTCAAAAGCTGGTTTGGCATTCAACAAACTCTGGTTCCAGGTTTTTAGTCAGTGATTTTCACCAGTCAGAGGTCTGACTTTCTTTACAACTTGGACAGCAAGCATGTACTGCTTCACTATTTTTTTAATTTCAATTATATGGTTTTAATAGATTATAGTAAATTTAGACCTTAACACATTATCATAAATTTCAAATAGATTTTTAAAATTTATCTAATTCAATGTAAATAAAAGATATCCAATTTAAATCAAACAAATACTTTTTATTTTTATCCATCCTGCCTCACCTCCTTCGGCACATGAGTTACTCTCATTTACAGTTTGAAAGCTGATGAGAAGACACAGGCTTCATTGCAAAAACATGTCAATGACACCTGGATGAATCTCTCATTTTTCACATATGCAACCATGCCATAACAAGGATATCACAAGACCATCAGGAGATCAACACCTGGATGAGAAGCAGCTCAAATTCAACCCAGGGAAGACCAAAGGAATATTGGTCAAAAGGGGAAATTTCACTCAACTACCTGAGACACTGGCCTCCCCCTCAAGAGAGGGCATCCCTCCCTGCTCTCTTCTGTTTGTCAAAGTGGAACAGAGCTTCGGGGTCTTGTTCAACTCATTATTAACCCAAGGTCCTGTCTAGAGCAGGGTAAAGGCATTGTTTTCTTCACGTTACCGAATACATTTTAAAGGTGTTCAACTCTTCAACAGAAGGTGTTAAGTGATGCCTACAAACATTAAAATATATTTGCTAACACATACATTAGTTCTAAAACACCACTATTTTCTTACTCTGGACAGGGCACTCTTCATAAGGAGTGCCGTTATCATATGACAGCCATTCAGTGGTCTGGATGAAACATTTGCTGGCTTCAATCCACCTCCTAAAGGAAAGGTGTCCACATCACAAAAAACACCAGTACAATTAATCTAAAATGACATCCTTACTGGCAATTTCAGGGAGATGTAGTTAACGTTTGCACAGCACAGTGTAGGTGCAAAGTTCTGTAAGAGCTAAGGATTATTAT